AGGCTAGAACTCTCAATCTCGCCCTGTGGGCGAGACGGGTTCAAATACCTCGTGTCTGTTTCCGTGGCTAGAACACTCAATCCTACCCTTTGGGTAGGACGGGTTCAAATCCAACAGATTTTCTTACGAGGCTAGAACACTCTATCCTGCCCTTTGGGCTGGACGGGTTCAAATACCCCGGATTCCCTTGCGAGGCTAGAACTCTCGACCCTGCCGTCTTGGCGGGTTAGCTTCATCCCATCTCTCCAAACCCGTCTTCATTTTTTCGCGGATTAGGGTGATTCTCTTTCTAGGACCACATTTCTCCAAACCCGTCTTCATTCTTTATAAATAAACCATTTATATTTCGGTGGACCGGTCTTCATTTTGACTCTCTCTTCACAACCTACCAAAGTGAAATGTAAACATTTTGATTTCAAGTTTAGGCCGGCACATTTTGATTTCAAGTTTAGGCCGACAGTATTCGCCTTTTTTCTCGAGCCCGACTTCTCTTGCATCGGCTCTTCTTTCAGCTTGGCTTCTTTTGCCCAAGTTTTGTATTCATCTAGATGGATTTCCTTACTTGAGTGGATCCGGATCTCTTTCCTTTTTTAAAGGGGATCTCTACACCACATGTTTAATTATTCCTTACACCACAGTATGAAGAAGATAATTAGCAATAATTTTGGTTCAATCAGCAATCCATGATAATTCAATCAACAAATTATATTTGACCATATGCTATATGATCTGATTGAACACCCATCCTAAAGCTCCATGCTCCCTCGTTTTCTTGATCTTATTTATACTACGTGAACATAGGGAACGTGGCCTCATGGTGAAACCTGATGCTCCCTTTTTTTTCATGATAATATTTTAATTATCTGCCGGCCTGCTTTTGCCGACATATAAGACTAAACACATGCATAACAATGTTGACCAACTTTCAAAATTATACATTTGCATGTTAATGCTTATGGAAATTTCACATCATATAAGAATTTGGTCCAGCAAGAAGTCATATAAAATCATGATAATAATTTCCAGGATATAAAAGTAAGGAAAAGAATATTTCCCTGTTATTTTGTAACCATCCTGCTTGCAATAGGGGACGATTCCTACAGTGGAGTAAGATAAACCAGCTCGGGTCTTTTTAATTTAAGCTCATTGGCATGGTTCCAGCATGTTATTTTCTTCAAAAAAAATTGACGGAAAACCGATTCTGTCAATAGTTTTTTATGGAAAACGGATTCCGTCGTAAAGTTTTCAACAGAAATCAGATTTCGTCGAAAGTTTTCCACGAAAAATGAATTCTGTCGAAAATATTTGAAAAAATAAATGAAAAAATAATAATATTTATGGACTTTTTGACGAAAAATTAACTCCGTCAAAAAATTTCGAAAAAATAAATGAAAAAGAAATTATATATGTGGATTTTTCGACGAAATTTAAATTCCGTGAAAATTTTTCAAAGAAAAATAAATTCTGTTGAAAACTTTTCAAAAAATAAATAAAACAAAATTATGTTTGTGGATTTTTCGACGGAATTGTTGAAATTTTTTTTACGAAAATTGAATTTCGTCGAAAACTTTTCAAAAAAATAAATGAAAAAGGAATTATATTTTGTGAATTTTTCGACGAAAAATTTTCAAAATATAATTGAAAAAAAAATTATATTTGTGAATTTTTCGACAGAATTTAAATTTCGTGGAAAATTTTCGACGAAAAATAAATTTCATCGAAAATTTTTCAAAAAAATAAATGAAAAAGAAATTATATTTTGTGAATTTTTCGACGAAAAATTTTCAAAATATAAATGAAAAAGAAATTATATTTGTGAATTTTTCGACAGAATTTAAATTTCGTTGGGAATTTTTGACGAAAAATAAATTTCATCGAAAATTTTTCAAAAAAATAAATGAAACAGAAATTATGTTTGTGGATTTTTCGCCAGAATTTAAATTTCGTCGAAAATTTTTGACGAAAAATGAATTCAGTCGAAAAGTTTTGAAAAAGAAATTATATTTGTGGACTTTTGGACGGAATTTAGATTCTGTCGAAAATTGTCGACGAAAAATGAATTTCGTCGAAAACTTTTGAAAAAAATAAATGAAAAAAAAATTATATTTGTGGATTTTTCGACGAAATTTAGATTCCGTAAAAAATTGTCGACAAAATATGAATTATATGGCTTATAGATTTGAATTATCGAATTAAATGGCGGGGTTAGCCGTATAAGACGGGTATATGGTTTAGGTACACGGGCAGAAGCATATAAGCAATCTCGGTTCTCCAGCAGGCTACCACTTGGAGTATCCCAGCAGGAGCATGACAAGATGCGTACATTGAATACACAGTTACAAGGTACAGTTGCACAACAAGACAAAAGGGCTTCACAGCAAGAGAAGAGGGTTGAGCAACAGGATAGTCTCGTGGCTATGATACAAAGGCGAATGGAAAAAATGGACAAGTTTATGTGAAGGCTTCCTGAGGCATTATTAGAATTTAAGGATGACGACGAGACTCACTCCCTGTCTCAGGACCTAGGTGATGACCATGATCATGCAAGTCATCTACCAGCATGACTTTTGTATCTGTTTGGATGTACGTGACATTGACTTTGTACATACATAGACTCTTTTGATTAGTATATGATAGAGACTTTTGTATATGTATGTCTCTTTTGATTAGTATATGTCTTGGACATTTATAGATATAGGACTCTTTTGATTAGTATATGACAAAGACTTTTGTATATGTATGTGTCTTTTGATTAGTATATGTCGTGGACATTTATACATATATAAGACTCTTTTGTTTAGTATATGGCAATGACTTTTGTATATGTATGTTACTTTTGATTAGTATATGTCTTGGACATTTATACATATAAGACTCTTTCGATTAGTATATGACAGGGACTTTTGTACACATAATTATATTAAGATCATATGATTTTGATATGTTATTTACTTTCATTATATTTGTTTATCAAGTGCAAAACACAAATTGGTATTAATTTTGTAAAGAGATTAAAAAAAATTCAGTCATAAAAGCAATTCTGTCGAAAATTGAGACAATAGTTTTCGATAGAATTTCATTCATTTTCGGTCGAAAATTTTTGACGGAATTTGTTTTTCGTTAAAAATTATTACAATATTTTTCGTCAGAATTTTATTCGTTTTTTGTCAGAAAATTTTGACAGAATTTCATTCATTTTTCGTCAAAATTTTTCGACGAAATTTGTTTTTCGTCGAAAATTATTACAAGATTCTTCAACAAAATTTCATTTATTTTCCATCGAAAATTTTTGACTGAATTTATTTTCCGTCGAAAATTATTACAAGATTTTTCGACAAAATTTCATTCATTTTCCATCGAAAAATTTCGTCGAAATTATTTTTCCATCGAAAACTTTCCATGGAAATTAATTCCGTCGAAAAAATTGTTTCTCACGAAGAGATAACTGACGGCTTCATTTCAGTTGAAAATTCAATCGAAAACATCATTTTCGACGAAATTTTAACCATTTTCGACGGAATTTTTTCATCGAAAAATTAGCATTTTTCAGTAGTGATAATATTTGAGCTATTAAGTCAAGGGTTTGCTTTTTCTGCAGTTACTGTATATAAGTTATCTGCAGTAAGCCCAATACGACGTCATTTTGGAACAGAAATCATGATATTTTTGTAATTTTAATTTATTTCAGGGTTATAATAGTTTTTATGTTTATAATTTTTTAAGATTTCAATACCAAAATGACGTCGTTTGATAATAAATGCAGATAAGTTATCTGCATTAACTGCAGAAACATTTTTTCCTTAAGTCAATTTGTCGTCGAGAATTAAATAGTCTAATATAGGATGATCTCTTCTTCATACTACATAAAAAAAATTATTTCTGTTATCAAAAAATATATATATATATATTTCTTGAGTGAAAATATCCTTGTAAGCACATGTACACACTAGAATTGAAACTTTTCCTCTAAGTTTATCAAAAACAACATTTAGAGGCTTATAAATTAGACAACTGGAATAAATGAGCTTTGTTAAGAAAAACAATAATTAAAGGGGTCACTGGAAAACAAATGTGATATTGGGAGTTGGAAAAGGGTGACGTAGAGCTCTCTAATTTAGGATACTCCACTACAACAACGTGGCGGAAATATCACATGAATAAAACCGCTATCATATCATATTAGAAATTATATGAAAACTGGAGACAATAGAGAGATATGTTAAGAATTTTGAGATCATATATCACCCCAAAACTTAAACTTAGCTTAAAGAGTGAAATTGTTCAAGATTTTATAAACTCCACCACTGTGGGACTTGTAATATTGGCATTCCTTTTAAGGGCCGACGTTCACGACGGTTTTCACTCTATCTACACTGACCCGATGCACCTTAATTCAGCTTATAGGTAGTCATTTCCATGGGCTCAACTCTCAACGATAGCATCAATTGTTATGAATCTTAATATTATCACCTCAAAAATTAGATCAAATGGTAAAAGTGTGTAAAACCTTGTAAATCTCACATTAGTTGAGCAACCAACATGGAGCATGTAACAGATGAGTTGTTTCCCAATTCTTTGCTTTATCATTACCCCTAATTATCTCTAACAAAATTATTTTAAATAAGTTATTGATATCTTTTTTAAAATTTTAAGAAACATTTCCTTTTAATATATATTTATTAAATTTTATATGAATTCTATACAATAAAATGCAACAATAAGATGTGGATCAGGATAGCTAGCAATCATCCGTGCAATGCTTGGCTTATTTTAAATTTAGACAGAAATTAAAGAATATAAAATAAAAACAATTGAAAAGAAAAAAATTTAAAATTATATTCAAATACTAAAATTGAAGCTTGAAAGACATAGTCAGATAGATATCAAAACGAGAAAGCAACAAACTAAACAAGGATCAAACACATAATAAAAGTTCTCCAAAAATCAAAAAATTAAGACGATCATACAAAAATAACAAGAAAAGTCCGTTAACTAGCAAACTAAGCAAAGGTGCTAAAGAACGAAACTACCCCTACACTAACTGCCATAACTACACCAACCGAACTACTAAACCTCGTAGAACCCGAATGGCTGGATGGAGCTGGCGCCGGAGAATCCAAGCTAGGCTTAGGTGATTCAGCTTTCGCCGGAGATGGTGCAGCCGGAGAATGGGTCACGGATGGTGGTGGTGCAGACGGAGAATGGGTCACGGATGGTGGTGGTGTAGCAGGCAAAGGTGACTCACTATGTTTGTTGTGTCTCACAGCCATGACAACAACAATCAACTTTTGACCCTTTTTGCAGTTTTCAATGCTGCCACTGATGAAGAAATAGGGACCCGATTTGTCGAATTTAAATGTTGAATCTCCGTCGTCCATCTTGTGAAAGGGATTGTTGGTGTTGCAAGAATCATAATCTTCCCTTTTTACCACCACAACTGAATCAGACCCTTTCTGATACTTGAAATCTGCACGATGTATATCAACCCACCAAAAATAAAATAAATAAAAAAAATAAACACTTTATGATTTGTTTTTGTTGTATAAAAACTATTGGCTCTTCCATAAGATTTTGACGCATACTATTCTTTTTGCTTGTAAATTGAATAAAAATTAAAATAATAATAACAAGGCAGAGGCAATCCTAATACACAGAATCTTATCTTTATGTATGAGTTCTGTTTCTCTGATGTTATTGGAGATAAATATCTCTTATCATAAACGAGTTGTGGTGAGACTCATCACCCATTACAAAAAGAAAAAAAAAATGGTGGCACAAATTTTTATATAAGAGGAGCATGGAATAGTTATCTCATGTAAAATGAAACAATGATTTCTCTTTTATATATTTATAAAAATGTTATTTTTTTGGATTCCAGCCAAAGAACTTTTAATCACAAAAGAGTTTTAAGGCTCACCTTCTTAGAAATTAAAATAATATTAGATTTATAGAATAATAGATTAAAAAAAGTGGTGTATAATATTTAACTCACGTATGGTATCATTGACTTGAAACCTATTCCTCTGAGCCCAGTGACTATAATCTTCAGAAGGCTTCACCACCCAGCCATCTTTTCCACCAGCGTTGAATCTGTACCCTGTTCCTTGAGATGATGACAGAATCAACATGGAGGTAATCAACAGCACAAGGTGTAAAAATCCATGATCAGACCCCATTGACATTGCTCACTGTTTAAGAGTATTTGTGAAGGGAGAGAGAGAATCTTATGAAGAAAGTGATATTGGAGAAGGATATGGTAACGTATATATAGTAGCTAGGGTTGGGAGGAGGTCGTGACTGTTGTGAATTAGAGCATGAATATAAAATTTAACATCTTCCATAACGTGGATGATCCAAAAAGATATGCTGTTATTAGTGATAGGGCATCTAATTTCAAATTTAGATAAAATTTAAATAATATAAATTTAAATTTAATTGATTGACTTCGACTTTGAATCCAATCTGAAACGTAAAACAATAATTTGAATTCAATTTCAATTAAAGTTGAAGAGGTCAACTTTAAATGACAGGATAACGTTTTCGGGACTCATAATTTCTTATTTATTTTATTCGGTTTTATTGAAATTTTCTCAATTAAATGTGAATATACATATAGAAACAAGAAAAATATAAATAGAAATATAATTAAATATAATTTGACTAGAATTAAAAAAATTTAATTAATCAATTTAAGAAATTCAATTAAAATTAGTTAATGAATAATTTAAATAGAAAATTAAAACTTCCAATAACTCTATTTGAAAGTTAGGTGACAGTCAAAAATTGTTGAGTAGACCAATTTGTCAAAAATTATAGTCAACATATCATTAAGTTGTTGACATTTTTTCCCTTAGAGCATGTTTAGTACACTATATAAGACCTGATAGTATAAGTTTATACTATACATTATGACATTTTCAGTTGTTTGGTGTGACATAGTATAGTATAAGCTTATACATTAGTTGTTTAATGTAGTTATAGAGTACATGTAAAGAAATCATCAAAAAAAATTTACTTGTATTAATTGCTTAAAAAATTAAAAAAAAATATTATTTGCTTTTGATTTTCATTTAATAATTTTATTTTTTACTATGTACCCAAGGTTACACATTAACAGGAAAATCATTAATTTCTTTTTTAGTGTGTCCCGAAACTGCTACTTGAGATTAAAAAACATAAATAAATTACTAGTTCATATTTACACTTAAACACTTTCCTTAAGCATGAACAGAGGTTAGCGACTCTTGACATTTTTGTTTACAGGAAAATGTTACAGTTTCCTCTTGTTTCAAACAAGAAAAGGAAATCAATTTTTCATTCCTCATATTGATTCGTTGCACTTATACCTTTTATGGGGACAAAGACTCATTTGCCATGTTTTTCGTCTTAATTATCAAAATATTACATTCCAAAAACAATTTTTTAGAATTTCATGTTTTCAGCAAAAGTGTGTTCTTTTTATCACGGGTCCAATGTTGATGGTGTGTCCACGGAGCGTTTTTTTAGTGTACCCATACTAGTTAAAATCGGAATTCTACTTAAAATTGAAAGGAGGACTAAAAATCGTAAAACGTAAAATCCTAACGTAAAAAAATCATAAAAAATCGTAAAAACGTAAAAACGTTTGTAATTTTGATGAAATCGTTTTGATTAAAAAAATCGTAAAATCATAAAATCGCAAATTTAAATCGAGATTTTAACTATCATGTGTACCCCGTGCACCATGATCCGGCCAAAAAAAAAAGGAAGAATTTGGAGGAAATTTTGAAAAAAAAAAATTTAAATGAAATCACATTTTTTTATTTTAGATAAAAAATCACCCAATAAAATAATGATCGTGGAGCACTTAGAAAAAATCCGTGTCCACAGCCCAGTATCAGAGAAAACGTACCCGAACATGCTAACAGAGGTAATAGGACATTAGGACCGATGGATCCTTTGCCCAATTTTTTTAAAAAAAATCAACCGTCTCCCATTTTTCTCTCTCTATATTCATTGTTTAATCGGTTGATCTTTGATTTAGTTTTTAAACATTGTATTGAATGTTGTATGCTATTAAAAGAAGGGAAAAGTATCTTTCAAGTAACTAGATATAAGGTTATATCTTTTTTTTTTTTGGTAAGCTGGGTAAAACACACCACAGCACAAATTAAATAACTGAAATACGACGAGTTTTATAAATAGAAGCTAAATCTGCATCAAACAGCAGACCAATTCCAAGGGGGGAGAATTAAAAACACAAAAATTATCAGAATTAACATTCATAAAAGAAAAATTTGTCAGCCAATCCGCACAACAGTTTCCTTCTATGAAAGTATGAACCAGATGAACTCTCCAATCCTTTTGAATCCATGTCTGTAATCGAGAAATCAGATGATTCTCGCGGACTGCATCACCATCACTAGTGAGTAGAGCAATAGCTGATTTAGAGTCACTTTCTACAATAACATTTCTCCATCCATCTTCCCAAGCTAGTTGCAAACCCTTTAAAATACCCCAGAATTATGCAGTAAGAGCATCACAACTACCAATTCTATAAGCAAATCCTTTTAACCATTGACCAGCATCATTTCTAATAACGCCACCACAAGCTGCTAATCTTTGATTACCCTTAACCGCTCCATCCGTATTAATCTTTACCCAATTGCTTCCAGGAGCCTTCCAACAAGTCAAAGTATCCGAATGGTACAGGTTATTTTGAGCTAAAATAACCTTATGAAAAACATCTTGTATATCTCTCACCTTGGCTATCACTGACTGAATCTTGTATTGATAATCATGAACCTGATTTGGATTGTCATGACTCCTTTCATTCCTCCACTTCCATGCAAGCCAGCAAGCCGTAGCAAACCATGTACACTAAGGGATATTATCCCTGAAAAAACTAATCTGTGACATGTTTAGTTCTATCCAATCCCATAAATTGGCAGAAAAGAAAGAAACCTGCATATCTATTGGTACCAAATCAGACCACAAATTCTTCATATCATTACAATCTCTCAATAAGTGAATACAAGTTTCATTATGCTCCCAACAAATTGGGCAAGAAGCTGAACCCATATTAAACTGGCTAAGGAAATTTTTTGTAGGAATTTTATTGTGAAGCACTTTCCAAATAAACAGCCTAATAACCTGAGGTCCCTTCCAAATAAACAGCCTAACAGCCTAAGGTTATATCTAATGAGCCAAAATGACGTCATTTTGAGATTGTAAAATTAAAAAATTATAATGATAAAAATTAATATAATCCTGTAATAAATTAGAATTATAAAAATATTATGATTTTCGTCACAAAATGACATCATTTTGTGCTCATCGGAAATAACTTATCTCTATTGACTAGAGAAATGTTTTACCCATTAAAAAAACTACTTTATTAAGGGTGCATTTTATAGTATTTGTTGATTCTTATTTTTATCATAAATATTTAAAATTTTAATCTATTTTTTGGCAACATTTATAGTTTTATTAAATAAAAATAATGAATAATAAATAATTACATTTTACCTCAAATATGTATTTAAATATAAAAATGCTAAAAAATTTGATTCATGATATTTATCAATTAAAATATCATGAATAACTGTCAAGAGGAACAATGGGTCCTTTACCCAGTTTTTTTTTTTAAAAAAAAACTATGTCCCATGTTTCTCTATATTCATTGTTTAATGGGGCTATATTTTCTTCAGCCACAGAAGATACCAAATTTTCTTGCACACCCATGGGAAACTGTGTTAATAATTTTTTCTTTTTATTTTATTATATAGTGGGACCCACTTCAAAAAACATGTATCTATTGCATAAGAGATGGATTTTCCTGTTACAGAAGACTGTGATTTCCCTTGTTTAATCAGTTGATTTAGGGGGAAAAGGTGTGTCCTTTTACAGGACACAATTGTATTTTTTTAGTAGCTTTACACTATATCTTATCTGTAAGATATAGTTTTAACTTATAATGCTAAAAGTTATTTTTTTCTCTTCTCAGTCATATCAGTTTTCGAGAAAAGAGAAAAAGAACAACTTTTCGTATTATAATTATGTCTTACCAATAAGACATAATATAAAGTTACTAAAAGAACACAAATTGAGTGCTTTAAAAACGACAAATATTAAACCCTTGATTTAGATTTAAAACATTGTATTGAATGTTGTGCGCTATTAAAAAAGCTACTATATTAAGGGTGCATTTTATAGTATTTGTTGATTCTTATTTTTATCATAAATATTTATTTATTTTTTTGGAAACATTTATAATTTTATTAAATAAAATTAATGAATAATAAATAATTAAAAAATTACTTTATATATATTTAAATATAAAGATGCTAAAAAATTTTGACAAAAAATATGTTTTAACTCATTTTTTTATAAAATATTAATAAAAATATTTTATAATAATATTTTATAAAGAATGAGTTAAAAAATTTATAAAAATTAAAAAAATTATGTAGAAATTTTTAAACTATATATTAGAACATTATATTTTATAAACTATAATGTTTTACAAAAAATGAGTTAAAACATATATAAAAATTAATAAATATTTCTTTTTCATTAATGTACACCATGATCGTAAAGATGTGCTATTACTTATATAAAAACGTTAATAATTTATTTTTTTCATATTTTCATTTTAATGTTCTTACTGTAAAATTTTATGTTTGATTTCCATTAAATAACATATGTTTACTATCCATTAGTGATATTAATATTAAATTTTTATTAGCGGGTCCCTCTTTCTTATCCATTAGATACAATATATAAAATAGCCGCATCCCTCTTTCTTATTTGTGGATTATTAAACTTAATTAGAAGGAGAAAGGCACTTGACCAAAGTAGTTGAAATAGGTAGCGACTATGGTAAAGTCGCTGGTTGGGAAAGTAATGGAAAGATGTCACAATTCAACCAAAGTTGCTATATAGGGTAGCGACTTTGGTATACTAAGGCCAGTGCCGTGGCAGTTTGCTGTATTTTTTCAAATGTGTGGCATTATGGTATATTATATATATTTTTGTGATAGTACGGTCAATGTCCCTTTTTTCTAATAGCAGGTCTTGGACACGTTTTCAATGCTTGACACGTGGTAAAAAAGACACGCTTTGTTAACCGCGGGTCTTGAAACATGGTATTCTGGGAAAATGTCTTTGGAGCGTAGCATTTCAATAATTAAGACAG